CCTGATAGTTTTATTGGTGAATTCTACCAAACTTTTTTTTTTTTGGTATTTTAGAGCATTTAATGTTTTTATTAATAATTGTTCCTTACATGAATATTAGAGGTTATAACCTACTTTCACATTCATCACCTCTTCTGTGTTTCTATTTATTTATTTATTTACTTATTTATTTATTATAAATTTATTTTTTATTGGTGTTCAATTTGCCAACATATAGAATAACACCCAGTGTTCATCCCATCAAGTGCCCACCTCAGTGCCTGTTACCCAGTCACCCCAACCCCCCGCCCACCTCCCCTTCCACCACCCCCAGTTCGTTTCCCAGAGTTAGGAGTCCCTCATGTTCTGTCTCCCTTTCTGATATTTCCCACTCATTTTCTCTCCTTTCCCCTTTATTCCCTTTCACTATTTTTTATATTCCCCAAATGAATGAGACCATATAATGTTTGTCCTTCTCCAATTGACTTATTTTTTTTTATTGGAGTTCAATTTGCCCACATATAGCATAACACCCAGTGCTCATCCCATCAAGTGCCCCAGAGGACTGTTATGAATTCTTTTTTAAAAATGTTTGGTAGATCCACTGAGGGGGGCACTTAATGGGATCTACCAAACATTTTTAAAAAAGAATTCATAACAGTCCTCCTCATACTCTTCCAAAAAATGAAGAGGAGGGAGCACTTCTAAACTCATACTATGAGGCCAGCATTACCCTGATATCAAAGCCACTACAAGGAAAGAAAATTACAGGCCAATATCCCTGATAAATATAGGGGCTCCTGGGTGGCTCAGTTGGTTGGGCAACTGACTCTTGATCTCGGGCTCAGATCATGATCTCAGGGTTGTGGGATCAAGCCCCTCATTGGTCTCTACACTCAGCAGAGAGTCTGGTAGAGATTCTCTCTCCCCCTCTCCCCCCCCCCCCACATTCTCTCTCTAAAATAAATAAAATCGATCCTTGGAGGGAAGGAAGGAATGGAGGGAGGGAGGGAGTTCAACACCACTAGTCATCAGGGAAATACAAATCAAAACCACAAGGAGATATCACCTAGCCCAACAGAAACAGAATTCAGTTCTTCATTTGGGTTTGCAGACCAGACAGTGGATATGGGAAGTAAACCTGGGATTTTAGTTGCCCAGGTGAGCACCAGGCCAGAGCTGTAATGCAGCTTCTGAAAAAAAGCAGCTTCAGTCACACTGAACTGCATCATCACAGCGACGTGCCTTGTGTGCCGAGCAGGTGCCACTGCAAGCCACCATGCCCAGTGCCTTGTGTACAGCCCTTGTTTAAGTTAACCCTTACAACCCAGATGTACAGATGGAGGATGAAGTTCAGAGAGCTGAATGAACACACACACCATGCCGAGACCATGTGGCACCTCTGCCACACAGCCAGGATGCAACCCCAAGTCTGGGTCACCCCTTGGCCTGTTGAGGCTTCCACAGTACTGTCCAGTGGCCTTGGTCACCCCACACCAGCAGAGCTGCACGTAGTCCTCCAGGTCACTCTCACAGCCATGTCACACGAGAAACTCCAAAACTAAACAAATCCACCTGGAGAAGGAGGGAGATGTGATGAAACCTAAATCCATGATCACACCTTACCAGATATCTGGGGGGGGGGGGGTGGCTGTTCCTGCTCCTCACTCTCCACTTGCATCTGTCCATGTCCTTCCATGGGTCTCATCTCCCTGAGTCCAGCCCCACCAGCTGGCTGGCAGATGTCTGAATCCCCATTTTGCCCACACTTCGAGGCACTGGTTTGCCTTCTCCCTGGCATGCCACTTTCAATCTGCCAACTCCGCTTTGTTCTTCAGACCTTAGCTCCCTCTGGGACAGCACCGCCTAGGCTGAGCCCACTCTCTGCTGCAGGGTGACTATCTGCTGGATGTCCTTCAAAAGACACCCCAATACCTTTCCTCCTTGATGATGGAGGCTCTCATGCACCAAGCATCAGGGAAGATTCAAAAATAAGCAGTTATTTTAAGGGCTCTACAAATATGAACTCTGTTATCAAATTAATTTAACAAATCCAAAATACCATCAGCAATAGATACTTTCATAATGGGAATTTAAGGTTTTGTTCTCCAGACCTCTACCACTTTAATGCATGAAGGTCTGTACTCCAGAAGAGAACAAAGACTAGGAGCAACGGTGAGAGGCAGACTCACCTCAAAACTGATTTTTCGGGATCCCTGGGTGGCGCAGCGGTTTGGCGCCTGCCTTTGGCCCAGGGCGCGATCCTGGAGACCCGGGATCAAATCCCACATCGGGCTCCCGGTGCATGGAGCCTGCTTCTCCCTCTGCCTATGTCTCTGCCTCTCTCTCTCTCTGTGTGTGTGACTATCATAAATAAATAAATAAATAAATAAATAAATAAATAAATAAATAATAAACAAACTGATTTTTCCACCTTATTCCCAAATATGATCAATGGGAGGCTCTATCTTTGGTTATTATTCCATGTCTTCTGAAATGAGGTTAACTCTACTCCTAAAAGATCCAAATCAGTAATGACTTGCAAACTAAGAATTCTAACACTGCCTGGCTGAAAAAGGGCAGGAAATCTGACCAGTTTGACAGAAAAGATCACCTCTCTGATTTTAGAGTGACTAAAATGATAACATATCAAGAAATCGTACATTTGTGGAACTGTTTGTTCCCTACAATCAAATCAATGAAATACCACTTTATCTGGTGGCATGCACCCATCTCTTTAGGATGCAGCTTGGTAGAGAAAATGCCTTCCTGTGGACCACCAACTATGAGGTAACGCTATATCCAGCCCCAGAAGGTGCCTTTCTTTGGTCTATGCTTTGTATCTCTCAAGAGCTTGGTCTCCTCTAAAGTACACCATTAAAGGCAAATGAAACAGACCCCGCTGCCCAGTGTTAATGGACATTGCTCTGTTTAGAGGACAGGCCAGCAGTCTGCCAAGCCTTCTCAAGAAGCCATACATGGGATGATTCTCCTCTCCCTTCCCATCCAAATGCTGCTTTAACGGACAAGAAAGAGAAAGATTAAAAATAAACTGAAAGCAGGAGCTGGAGATGTTAGGAGGGTATAAAAACTGAGTTTCATACTCTGCAAGTGGAACTACACCCCAAATCCGTTTACTCGTGAATCCCATAGTAAGGATTAGAAATGACCTTCAGAATGAGAGCGAAGGGTAGGAGAAGGCAGACTTCAGTATCTTTTGGATGCAGCTGTGGATTTCATTAGGTTTCTTCTGGAGCTTTCATTTTTATTTCACAACTTTGCCCTGTGGTTAGATCTGACCCTGTTGAGCCAGTCTTTGGTTTATATGCTGCTGCTTCTGTTTCTAGGAGTTGAAAATGGCCTTCAGGATGATCAAAAAGCTTCCTTCAATCCAATGTTACAAAAGGAGCAAGGAAGGAACCATATTCTGACATTTACCGTGTTTACTGCATACCACAAGGGAGGATTTTTAAATTTTTGATATACAATTCGCCACACACCTAAGTAAGCTCAGAACTGCCCAAATGCTAAATGCTCCTAACATCACCATCCACTTCTGAATCATGGTGGAAAGCTTTACCTTGTATCAAGCCAGCATCTGTTAATGGAACTTAAATTTATTGCTCTTTTGTTCTTGACCCAAGTGTTTTGTCCATATCTTTCAAACTTTCAGAGCTTTGCTCCTCTCCTTCAGTCCTTTCATGGTTTTCAGATCCTTCAGCCAACTGCCTACACGACTCTGCTCATGCCCCAATTTGTCTATGTCCCTTTAAAATGGGATCCAGGAACTGGGTTGTGGGCAATGAAGGTCTTTATCATTTTACCACGTCCAGACCTCAAGCACATTAGCTCTTCTCTCTATGCCATCCTCGTGACCAATTAGCACAAGGGCAGGCTGCAGCTGTTCAGTAAGCATTAATTGGTGGTGATAAAATGTTGTGGCAGAGAAATGTCTGACAAATGTGTTCAGCAAGTCCATGACCCTACAACCAAGTTTACAAAACTGTAGTTTGGAGTAACTTCATAGTGAATTTTAATTAAAGCCTACATAGATAGTTTAAACAGCAGAGCTTCTTGGACCTCACTGCCCATACAGATGGGGAATCTGACCAGAGATTTGCATTTGGAAGGGAATGATTTAAAATCCAGAGGTTTGTGCTATCATGGATTATCTCGAACCATCTATATTGGTTCAGAAATGGCAGTCTGACAAACCCCTTTCCAACTCCATGTTCCAAGTACCTGAATTAACACTAGAGATATCATTTGAGCTTTTTTTTTTCTTTCTCTCACATTTTCTATGTTTTCATTTGAAGTAGACAACTGGGTCAGATTAGACAGAATTTATTATAAAGGTCACAGATAGAGTTTCAGCATTACAAAAGTGCCAAATAAAGATGTCTCCTCTACAGTTAGGCAAGAAATATTTCAAGAGAAGATAACTGTGCTTGTATAAGCATCAAAATATTATAGATATTATATAATTGTATATAATATGTAGTAATATTTATGTAACTACTAACATCATATGATGTCTAAAAATTACCACTACAGTTGTGCCACTAACAGATTAAAATTAACTAAGAAATTCTTTGGCAGAATGTGGTTCCTTCTTCACATAATTATGAGGATATTGGTTGATATACAGACAACCATGAGGATACTGGATGGATATACAGACAACCATTCAGCTCTTGGAAAAGGGGCATTTGTATGTTCCAACACGCTGAGACTTTTCTCCACCTCCCAAAGGTGGATAAATCAGAGATGGCAGCCATACTCGGTCTCAGTCATTTGCCCATTTTTCCATAACTGGATTACCTTCCCATGTATGCTCCCCTTTCCTCCATCTCATGTCCAAGTAAAATGTCATCAGCAAAACATTACCACTGATAGGCTCTCACCACAGAATCAGAGATCTGTGTAGGCCACTCAGGGACGGCCTCTTGCTAGAGGGTTAGAGTGGGGTCAGACACATTGTATTTCTATAAACAAAATGACTAAGCAAAAACACAGCAGGATCTGTTTAATAATAAAGTGGTTTGTTGAGGTCTAGGATTTTATTATTTCTTTTTAGAAAAATGACAAAATTTACAAGATGCAAAGGTCTTACACAATACATTATCACTGATGTTTGTTCTCTTTACACCTTAACATGGGGCCTGGCTAAGCCAGTACTGGGAAGAACATGGATGCAGTTGAGACCCATCATGGACACATGTGAAAGGAGGACTCAGTGTCAAGTGATGTTGGGCCAGCCTGTTTCAAAAGAGAGCCAAGAAATCATAGGAACCAGCAGAGTCTTTTCATGGGGAAAGCATGGGTGTATGCCCTGCTGCCATGTGCATGAGGTACACTCCCCCATACCTCCAACACCCACTTTCTCTATTAGACCACAGCAACAACAGAAAATGGTAATGTTCCTTTGGTGGTGTTGTTTTGTTTTATTCTTTTTTGTTTTTGCAGGGCTACTCAGGTTCCCAATTTCTTATTTCTGTCTTCCTTTTCATGACTCAGTTCCAAATTCTTAAAGCAGTGTAGGTACTTAGCATCTTTCATGAATTTTTCAGGATCCAGTTCCGCCCAATGATAATGCACTAAAAAGAACAAAGATAAGACACATTACCGGAAAAGGTCCCAAAAGTTGCCTCCAAATCCTATGTAAAAAAAATAAAACCAAGCATAAAAATTTTAAAAAAAACAAACAGCTGATGCTACCCTTTTAGTTCATACAATGACAGCAGCATGACAATGTTTCACTTCACTATGAATAATCTGCCATGTTGTCATGTATAAACCCAAACACTGTCCTCACCAAAATCTCCAATTTATTAGAACTTTATTCTTAGAGCTCAAAAAGACACTACGTATCTGGGAATTAACTCACTTCTAAATGGCCTTTGGATCAAAGAGAAATTGGAAAATATTTTAAAGCGAATGTAAATGAAAAGACAACATATCACCATCTGTGATATGTACCTAAGGCACTACTTACAGGGAAATTCATAGCATTCAAAGGTTACATTAGAAAAGAAGAAAGCTGTCACGTCAATAATCTGAGCTTCTATATTAAGAAACTAAAAGAATAAAAGAGTAAAACCCAAAGCATGCAGAAGAGAAAAAATAAAGACTAGAACAGAAACTAATGAAATTTCAAACAAAAACAAATAATAAATGGGAAGATCAATAAATTTGATAAACATCCTGCCAGACTTATCAAGAAAAAAGAAGACATATGTTACGAGTATCAGGAATCGAAGAGCTAACATCGGTACATTTTATAGACATTAAAAGGATACGTCACAAGCAACTTTATATATTCTCACAAATTAGACAACACAGATGAAATGGGACAAATTCCTTGAGAAAAGATACAAAAGTCTCATTTCCAAATCCTTTTAATCATGAAGGAGGCAGGGGGGAACCTAAATGAACCATAGGGACAGGGAATAAACTAAACACTTGCTTTTGAGACATTTTTAACACTGCTCAAAGGATGGTAGGTTCTTCAGTATAAAATCTCCAAGTATCTCAAGTCTCCTTCTGTAATTCTGAGGCTACCACAAAAACCAGCTAGTCTTGCTAAGATTTATGAGGCAGGCAATTGTCATCCAAGAATTTAAATAAGCCCCAAACTTAACACAGCAGTTTCTACTTCCTCAGATCTAAATTCTAATTGTGTGAACTTCAGTAAAAGCAAAAGATTCTGATGATAGTGGGTTGCCCAGTGATACCACATCTGTGAATATGCTTCTGGATGCACTCGAGCATGGATCACATTCTTAGGAAAGGGTCACATTATGAGCAGATGCCTCAACAGAATTAACAGCCTTCCATTCCTGAACCCAGCTTGATATGGAGGCCTATGGGCCCATCCCAGAAAGGCTAATTATAACAGGAGCTATGTTCTTCAGTTCTATATGGATCCACACAAGAGACTAAAATTTTCCCCAAGGCCTACCCTCATTCTAAAACTCACCAGTCACAGTCCTGCACTACTTCCTAAGAGATATCTCAAAGACCACAAGGGGATAGGAATTATACATCATTCCTGGGGACCATATTACTTCCACTTTTAAGCCAGGAAAAGCAATCCATATGCTCCTATATTTTAATCAAGATGTTAACCCAAACCTAGGCATCTGGGGTGTACTAATGTCTCTTTCCTCATCTGCAATACTAATAACTAAAATCCTGAAACTGGATCTCACATTGACCTTTGGGGAACTTCATCTTCTTGGTGCAGATTAAAACCTTTGTTTTTGAATTTAAAATGAGTTTTGGGATCCAGCTTTAATATATTATTCTTTTACATTTACTTCAAATAAATATTCTACATGTGTTCAAGCTTTGAGATAATAAATTTATGTTTCAATGTCTGATGTACAGATGGAAATGATAAGGTTTACTGCAGAAGAATAAATGACCTGGAAAATGTTAACAATATTCCATTAGATGATAAAAGCAGTGACATTATATATACAGTCTGTCTTTATGTAAAATTCGAGAAAAAGATATAGAATTATCTGATTAGAGAAAATGTTATAAAAGCATTAAGTTAATAATGATTATCTTTATGAAATGGCAGGTGACTTTTACTTTCTTTGAGCATTATGGCATTTTATAAAACTTTCTGTGATGAATGAGCATTAATTCTGTAATACAAAATGGCTTTCAAAAGAAATTTTATGAGAAAGACAATTTAGAAATCACAATTCCCTACCAGAGAATCACAGAACTAGAAACCTGAGAGGTTTTATCCCAGGGCTTCTCAAAGTTTACAGTAAACCACTCAGGCCTAGAGATTTCATAAAGCACTTAACCTGAAGGGTTTAAACTACAAATTTCTTTAAAATTAGCTGTTCTAATACTGGGATACCTAATAGGCACATCTCATCACACTATCAACATTAATAACATGAACTCCCAAACTGCATGCAAGACCCTTCTGGCCAACGGTAGACACTGTTGCACCTGAAAGCTACTGCCCCACCAAGGTACATGGATTGGTCAAATAGATGCTGCTTTTTATTTCCAATTTCACTTTAACAAATATTCCTTCTCATTTTCTTAAACATTACCATGGAAAAACCCAGGGGCCAGGTTACTGGCTGGCAGGTGGGAGTGGCTGGAGATCATAACATTCCCAAGGCTAGAAGCCTGAAAGGGGAGATGGGAGGGAGCTATCCATGAGGTCCACTTGCCAGATCACAAGCACTGAGCGGAAGTTATTTGCAAGCTGACAAACACATGATTCTGCACAAAAGGGTGATAAAATTTAGAAATCCTAGAGGAAAGGTAATGTGCCTCCCTGTGAGAGCCGTTGAGAGGATGGCATGTACTTCCAAGTGCATTCTTCTGATGTCTCCGTGAGGCAGGTGAGCTATCTGAGGGCAGACGGAGGCACTTGACATGCAGTGTTAAGTGCCTGAGTTAACTTAGCACCACAATTTCATAGCCTTATGGAAAGAAGCTTCTGGAGTGGTTCTCGTTTACTGCCTACAAACATCAGGGGCAGTGGGGAACAGTACAGCATCAGAAGAAAGGAATTCCTCAATAGCCTGTTTAAGTCTCTCTGAGATGCTGATTTCCAGCTGATCTACTTCTGGCTTCAGACCATTAGAGCAACCACAAAGTGTAAGTGCTTAAGATACATAGACCACAGACCCGCTCTCCAAACCACTGTCAAAAGAACCCAACTTTTATATATTTATTTCAGGCCACAGCTAGGAATCTAATCTGAGAGTTCACTTACCTAGAAAAGAAAGGCTGTTCTTAGACATGAGTCTCTGAGAAGTCCACATTATCAGAGAAGGATTCACCCTGACTTAGCACTTAGATTCCAGTGAGCCCTCCACTGAACTGTCAAAGTGAAGAATCTCTGCCTTTATTCAAGAGCTGAAGGTCCTAACTTGGTGATAAGAACATGGGGACAGTGATCCAATTTCCTGATTAAGACAGAAAAGCTTGGGGATCCCTGGGAGGCTCAGTCAGTTAAGTATCTGCCTTCAGCTCAGGTCATGATCTCAGGGTCCTGGGATGGGGTACTGTGTCAGGCTTCCTGCTCAGCGGGGAGTCTGCTTCTCCCTCCCCCTAATCTTGTGCTCTCCCCTTCTCAAATAAATAAATATTTTTGTTTGTTTAGCCTGTACACTATCTATTGCTCACATATATTTGTATGTATTTAATCAAGTCAGTCTTACAGAACTGACAGTGGTTCAGAATCTTCACTTGTCCAACTGAACTCTGCAATGACAGGCTTATTCTATGTCAGCACCATCCAATATGGCAACCACTAGCCAGATGTAGCTACTGAGCACTTGAAACGTGGCTACTGTGACTAAGGAAATGAATTTTAAATTTTAATTTAATTAATTTATGCTTAAATATACACCCAAAGGTAGCGTCTACTGTATTAGATGGCATACTTCTAGGTTATCTGTAAGCTTGGTTCACTACTTCAGCTATAGACAGAATCATCTTGACAATTTATTTTCTAATAAATGAAACTAAGGTGGAAGCCTAGGCACATAGAAAATCCAACCATACTGCTGATAAACTAGCATAACATGACTACTATGTATCAGTGAGAAAGCAGTTCAGCCTCCTGCATAACAGGCCAGAACAGCACCAAGGTGTGGGAACAGTAACCTCCTCCAGGTTAGAAAAGAGAAAATGGAGCAGAAAATATTTTTTGAAGAAACACTGCTTAAAATTTCCCAAATGTATTGAAAGACAAACATTTACAGGTTCAAGAAACTCAGAAGGCCCAAGGCAGTCATCAGAGTGAAACTCAGATGTGATACAGATGTTGAAATTATCAGACAAGGGAAAATAACCATGATTAATATGTTAAGGGCTCTAATAGGTAAAAGAGACAATACATAAGAACAGATGGGTAATACAGCAGAGAGATGGGAACTCCAAGAAAGAATCAAGAGGAAATACTAGAAGTAAAAAAAACCCACCATAACAGAATGAAAGAACACCTCTGATGGGCTCACCTACTGAACACAGCCAAAGGAAGAATCAGTGGACCTGAAAATTAGTCAATACAAACTTCCAAATTGAAATGCAAAGAGAGAAAAGAATTAAGGGGAAAGGGATGTGAAGCAATTGCAAAAGGTACAACATATACATAATTGGAATACCAGGAAGAGAGAACAGAGCAGAAGTATTTGAAGAAATAATGGCCAAGAATGTTCCAATCTAGAGAGAGAATCTTGAAAGAAGCTGAAGGGGGGGAGGAAAGAAGGAAGGGTAAGAATGGGGAATAGCTATGAACCCACCTTACCCACAGAGGAACATTGCAAGGACTTCTCAGAGGAAACTATGCAAGCAAGAGAATGGAAAAAAATATTTAAACTACTGAACGAAAAAGCCACCCATCTAAAATTCTGTACTAGTGGGATTATCCTCCAAAAGTGAGTGAAATAAAGACTTCCTTAGATCTGTACTGCAAGAAATGCTGAAAGAAGTTTTTCAGTTTTTAGGCAGAAGAAATGTGATATAGGTCCGAAACTTGGATTTGTGGGGCACCTGGGTGGCTCAAATGGTTAAGCACCTGAATGTTTTTTAAAAAGATGACCTGAGCTAA